AAACTGTAACAGGAAGACTCATTTAGCATGAAACAGGAGCACAAAAAAAAGAACTTTATTCAGAATCCCAGAAATCTATAGGATTGATCAACAGAAAGAATAAATGAGTGCAAATGAAACCAGAAGGAATTCCTTAATAAATTGTTATGCCCCCAAGTAAAATAGAACATTATCAAGAAGCCCAGAAATTTATATTCCCAACTAAGAAGATGATTTTAAGATTTAAAACTGACATCCAATAGCTATCTAGAATTACTAAGATATTTCTTGCAGTGAGATAAACATACAGAGAAAAAAGAAAATGTAAGTTATTAACAAACTGAAACAGTAAAACCAATTGCGGTTTTAACCATTTACTTGAATTTGAACAAGAAAAACAGCAGCTGGAAAGGCATAAACATATGTATGCATGTGGTATCACTTTTAAGAAATCTCTTGTATTTGTGGCTAACCAAAATTGGCAATGCATCCATGGCATCTTATACAACTATGAATCCAGGAAACCTGAACAAGCTTGTATATGTATAAACACAATATGATACTGATAATGAAACGGGATACCAAGTGGAGGCCTATGGAAGAAAATTTATTGCATGGATGCATATTTTAAGAAAGCATCCTAGTAGGAACTTCTTAATTGTTTTAACTTTAATTAAGTTTGTAGACATCTTAGATGTGTGAAGAATAAACTGGACAAGAATTTCCTGTATAAAGATAGAGGAAGTTATCATCCTACAAACAATTATCTACAATTAATCTAGGGGTTTTCCATAAATGAAAAGTAAAATTGAATATATATATATATATATATATATATATATATATGCAAGAAGCTTACTTTTCTCTCCATCTTAGAAGAGCTTCTAGGAGTGGAATAGGTGTATGCCGTGCCACCATTGCTAACGAGTCCAACACTTGCTCATAAACTGGGTCAGATGGCCTAAGGTACTGTCCATCCTGATGTTTTTTTCATGCCAAAACAAAAAAAAATGAAAAGAAAGGAAATCATCAGCACCTGATGTACCGACAAAACATTCTTCATTCAGAGATTGACTATGACAAATGGTCTACATATAAGCATAACATCAACAAAATTGCCACACATTGAAATGGAATGTCCGACACTTAAACTTTGTGTGAATTCCCTACGGAACACTTTGTTTGTGCATTGCCCTTGTTGTGTCTGGTTAACAAAGCAATCAACCAGATAGATTCTCTCTCTAGGAGGCACCTATGTCAAGGTTCTAATTCTATGCACGTAGCAAGATGTCCTATACAATCATTAATAATCGCATGTTTTTCTGCCAAGTAATCATGATCCTCTGCTCATCTAGGGGCATGACTAGCCCAAAAATGTCATTTGTATGGTTTCTTACCATATTTCTTTATTGCTGAAGAAATATCACAATCCTCTAGCTCATTTGTGAACTTTAAAAAAAGGGGTGAAGGAAATTTATAAAACTTATTGCAAAGAAAACCGTTGTCCAATTCAATTTCTTTGCTACTAGTAATGAGGAGAATTGCCAATACACCAACAAACCATCATTACAAATCACCGACAGAAATGGAAAGCCTGGGTAGTACCTGTGCTTGGGCGGTTTCAATGCGACGCCTAGCAAGAGGCAGAAACCGCTGGAGCAATGCATCAACGATCAACTTCGATGCACCGCCCGACTTCATTTCTTCAAATCAAAGTTCTACACTTTTTAACCGAGACCAACAAGAAGCCTGCACATTCGAATAGTACCAACGAATATGGTTTCCGCTCGAAAGAGTTTTATCATCATTTCAGTATTGATCTTGCAACAAAGGATGGAAATTTAAGAAACATAAACAGAAATTTCAATGTCAGCCATGCCGAGTCAAAGAAGAGCTGCAAATGATACAAACCCATGAAGAGAACGTGAGTTCAATTGTTGAGATGCTATTCCAATACTCGCTCTGCGACGAAAAAACTTCAATCTTTTTGGTTTCCAATGCAGATAGTCCTCGTAAGCTTCCTAACGCAAACGACGCCAACGGTTTTCTATGAGTCCGGATCTGCTGTCTCTTTCTCGCTGTGGAATTTGCGGTTGGGTCGCATTTCTTTTTCGTGTCAAGATTCTCTCACGTGTGGCCACTAATACAAACAACATACAGGAGTTCAAATTTATTTCCGACCGTTTCCTCTCTCTCTCTCTCTCTCTCTCTCTCAAAGTCTCAATTTCTCTTATTTTCCATCTCCACTACCAACTGACCAACCCCTCTTCCTTCTCTCCGGCCAAAACATGGCAGAGCAGATCATGTGGCATGATGTTTGATAGGCAAACGATGCACTTAGCTGCGCTACGGAATCCCGGGAAGAAGGGAGAGAAAGAAAGGATCGAGTTGTTATTGTTGGCCAATGGGAAGAAAAAGTAAAAATATGACTAAAATAGAAAGAATTGCCACGTGTTTTATTTTAGTAGAGTGGTGTTGCGTTGCCATTAGGTTTTGGGTTAATCATTACAGATTTGTTGGAAAGAGGTTTTTTTAACTGAAATGTATTAGAAACATTTTGATTTTTTTTTTTATATTGTGTTTGGTATTGTCACTTCTACTTGCAATAGTTTAATTTGATTAATACTAAATATTTTTATACCACAAAACCCAAAACGTTTTCAGAAGTAATGAATATAAATTAATAAACACTTCTACTTAAAATGCCAAATTGATGTTTTTCAGATACGTGCATTTTTCTAATTAAAAAAACATTCATATATGATGTCATAGCACATCTATAATCTAATAGTATGGGTTGAACCCTATTAGGGAAAACCTATCATATTGAAAAGACACGATGTAGGAAGAGCTTTGACCAATTAAAGCATCCTGTGTAATTTTGATGAATACCACTCAATTGGTTACCTCTTTTATTATATCAGTTAATTGGATGTAAGTTTTTTCGGTATTATAGTAGAACTCTATTAGTATATATATGAAAACAAAGATGACTACAAGCTTACGACATGTGGCTTCTACTTTCTCCCCTTGTCCAACCAAAGTCTTTCCTTGGTTCCATATCATCACTCTCAACTTGCCATCTCAACACCCCTGATTTTCTTAAAATCAACCAATCAATCAATCTCTCTCTCTCTCTCTCTCTCTCCAATCACTTAAATCATCTCCTCTCCTAAAATTTCTCATAAACTATCTTTGCACTAAAACTTTATTCTAAAGTATCTCTTAATCTTGTCTCTTTCCTTCCCTATCTCTATTTATTTCCATCTCTATTTTTCTCCACCTTACAAATACATACATTTAATTTTTCATCAATGTATTAAAAGATCAATGTTTAAATTAAGATTTTTATGAAAATCATTTAAGTTAAAACTTAAATATTGAAATAAGATGAATAAAAAATATATAAATTAATAATAAGAGAAAAAGTAGATAATACAATAAGATAAAAAATAAAGTAAAGTAAAAAATAATAATTAATTAAAAATCTTATTATAATTACAAACAATACAGTTAATTAACTAAGTAGATTCAATTACTCTCAAATAACTATTGTTATTCACTAAATACTTAATTAACTATAGTTAATTAATTAAGTAGAGTTGATAATTAATTGTTGAGCTTTTTAAAAAAGTAATTTAATAGTAATTTACCATATTTACTGAATTATTTAAATTATAATTAGTGTTATTTAAATTTTAATTTTATAGTAATTAGAATAACACTAATTATAATTATATTCTTATTAACAGTTACTTAAATTATTAATTATAAATATAATTAATAATTGTGGTAATTATTAATTTATTATTTAAAATTACCATATTTTATCTAAATTATGTTACTTAAATAGTTACCAAATTGTTTAAAAAAGTATAACTGAATAGTGAATTATTATTAAATTAGTGAATTTACCATAATTCTGTTAAATAAAACAATTAAGTAAATTATTGAGGCCCTGTTTGGTTGGCTGGAATAAGGGTCTACAATCAGAATCAGAATCAGAATCAGAATGAACTACTCCAATTCCAACTGTTTGGTTGGGCAGAATCGGATTCTCATTCTCATTCCTTCTGGAATTGCATTTCTCCATTTGAGGGAATGGTCATTCCTTGCCCCTCCCTTGGGAATGAAATCCCACTCCTGTTGATTCTAATTCCCATTCCTGTCGGAACCAAATAGACTATAGGAATAAAGCATTATGATTCCGATTCCGATTCCGATTCCAATTACGAACCAAACAAACCCTGAGTTATTTAAGTAAAATATCACGTTGATTAAAATAAATTCATATTTACTTAATTAGGTAAAATAATTTTAATTAAAATAACAATAATTAAACTCAACCTAAGCCCAACCCTTAGAATATAAAGGATGATTTTCTCTGTTGAACATACGCTTGCTGTATGCATTTTCATGGGGCACCCGGAATTTACGGGTATCATGCTTCTAGTTCTGGGTCAATGTTTTCCCAAAGCTCATTTAAATCTGCAGCTCCAAATTATCATTCAAGAGGACCAGGACATGTAGATCTCATGGTCATAGATAACCGGTAGTTATTAATCCAGAAAGGCCGAATTGAGAGTGTTCTCTGATGCGAATAGGAGCAAAACTGACTCGATCGATCGGTTGCCCAACTTTTACTTTGACCATGATCTGTCTCGCAGGCGGGAGTCAACAACGAATGAAGGTTGGGTAAGTTGTTATAGGTCTCCATTTTCCAGTTCCATGGCATGACGTTGGATATTAATTTATAACAAAAATCATCGATGAGAGGCCACGTCCAATTTGGCAAACCCTGTCTTGCCCAAGCTTCAAACAAATAATCCATATCAAAAGAGGTATTAGGCATATTGCCATAAAACGTTTTTCTTCTTACCTAAACAGAGTTGACCGTTCCTTTAAAGTTGATTTTAACTTTTATCGAGAAAATTCTGGAGTTTGGACTTCAAAACGCGACGAATGAACTCGTCATATCGTGTTGACTCTTCCGCTATGGCCTATTGGCCGGCCGATCCCTTAGATATAAGGATGGATGCATTGTGTTTCGACTGTATAGAAGTTCAGAAATCTCTATTCCAACTTTATCCAAGCAAGAGCTTGTGTTGTTGGATCTTCACATCTCGAAACAACTCCTCCACCCAATACGTGTCCGATTGAAATGAATAAGCTCGACCAATTGAAGGGTGTCTTCCATTTCTTTGACGAGGACAGAGATGGAAAGATCTCACCCATTGAGATGCAGCACTGTGTAATGAGAATTGGTGGGGAGATGTTGCCTGAAGAAGCTGAGGCAGTCATTGAGTCCTTGGACGCGGACGGAGACGGATTACTGGCGTTGGAGGACTTCGTTGGCTTAATGGAAGCCCAAGGAGAAGAGGAGAAAATGAAGGATATGAGAGACGTCTTCGAGATGTATGAAATGGATGGTTCTGGGTTCATTACACCTAAGAGTCTCAAGAGGATGCTTAGTCGACTTGGCATGTCAAGGCCCATCGATGAGTGTAGACTGATGATTAGTCAGTTTGATCTCAATGGTGATGGTGTGCTCAGCTTCGATGAGTTCAGTATTATGATGCTACGATGAATTAGAATTTAATTACTCTTTTCTTTTGCTTTGTTGTTTTATTGATATTGATTCATTCTTTGTGTACTCGTCTTTAATTCCTTAGCTTTCTTCCATTAATTTATGACTTCTTATCTTAATTTTTGCAATTGGGGTCCCAAACCCGAGCAAGACAGTTCTGTTTGAGTGAGAATTCAGAAACCAGAAGGGAGTTGTGGCTGCTGGACCGGAAATGTATCCTTTTTAGCTAGCATTTTGGATTTTGAAACCAAGCTGTCATCACTGGAATGGTCCAGTTGCAGCAATTGGGGAGTAAAGCTGTGTAGTCTAGTAATGCATTAGGAAACTCGGTTTTAACTTTTAATCAAATATGATGATGGGTCTAGTGAGTAACGAGTAATGACTTGATCGTTGTCTATGAAATTCTTTCATGGCTCCATTTCTTGACTGGTTCGAATCTTGCAATGCATCAATAATTTGGTCATTCAGCTGATCCAACTCCCAAGAATTTATCAAGTGGGTCAAAAACTCAAAATAATGATCCAATGCAATATCAGTGAATCTACAACGTGGTAGCCATTAAATGGTGGGTTCTGATAATCCACAATGACAAACGGAACTAGTCGAGGATTAAAGACCCCGCCAACGCGACGCGACCCCACCGTTTCTCGTCGATTATTAGGAGTGCAGGACACGGATCATACCATGAACTTGAGGTGATCATCACATAATGTCCGCGCTTATCTATCGTCACTTTGACGGGTACCTATAAGGTCGTCTGCTCCTATTAACAATTGATAAACGAGGAGTCGAGAATGCGTTCGACAAAATGCACCACCGAATTCTTTTGACATTTTTTGTACCCGATCAATTATTTCATATAAGAGAATCTTATTCCACGCAATATTGCTATAATATACCATTCGTTTAGGCATATGTGTTGACCAATCTGGTTTTTTAATTATAGAAACATATATATACAGGATCAGATGACCCTTCTGGTTGATTGACTAAGTCCACAAATATCTCCACAGCACACCATGATCATTGATTCTTATTTAGTTGGGTATTTCCGGATTGATTGAGACTACCTCCTTCGTCTGAGATTTGGAAGAGCACCCGCAGCTCGTAATTTCTTCACTGTCTGCAAATTCTTCCGCCAGTTTTTGTAACTTGTAGACAATATCTCCGGCGGTCGGTCTTGCAGATGGGTCTTCTTCTACACATGCTCTCGCAAGGTTAGCCAATGAAACAGCCGCGTCAAAGGAATAATTGTTTCCCAATGCAGGGTCTATCCAGTCCCCCAGCTCGTCTGCGTCGCCTGAATTTAAAATTGACTTGATCTTCTCGGAAAGCAGAAAATTATTTCCTCCCTTCTCCTTGTCTCTGGTTATTGGAGTTTGACCAGATAAGACCTCTAACAGCACCACCCCGTATGCAAATATATCGGTGCTCGACGATATTATTCCGTGTTGAACAAACTCGGGAGCTAGATAACCTTTACTCCAAGAAGTGGAGTGAGCGGATGGAGACTGTGGCTCCTCAGAGTCATCGTTGACGCATCTCGACATGCCAAAGTTACCAACCTTCGCATGAAACTCCTCGTCCAAAAAGATGTTTCTGCTCTTTATATTCCTATGGACGTAGCTGGGGTGCATGATGTGATGCATATACTGCAACGCAATGGCTACGTCAAGACAGATCCTCAGCCTCTGGTTCCATGTCAAGAAACAATAATACGAAGCTATGAATTGGCTCTTCATCGCCAACCCAGCGTGAAGCCAATCCTTCAGGGATCCATTCTTGGCGTACTCGAAAACTAGAAACGATTGGGTGTCATCGTTCAAACAGGTCCCCAAAAGCCGAAGTATATGGGGATGACGATGATCAACACCGTGGAAAAGACTGAAATCTATTTTGGAGATGGTTTTCGGAAGAGTTTGCTTTATGGCCAGATTCTTCCCATTGAGGCGTCCATGAAACACAGATCCCTCAATTAGGTTATTCGAATTGAAGTCCTCCGTGGCTTTTCTCAGCTCCTGGGTGGTGTATGTCTCTAACAACTTATGATGCGTGGTGTCATTCGACTGGTTGTCAAAATGATCACGGCGGTCCTCGAACGATTCCTTGTAGCTGGGAGTTCTTATGCTTAGCTGCTGTAGTTCCACGTCGGAAGTCTTGCAAAACTTCGGCTTCTTCCTTCTCCGTTGGATCACCACGATCGCTGCTGCAATGGCTACGCTAACACCTATTGCTATCCCACTCACAACAATGTAAACACCAATCTTCAACAATGTCGATCTTCCCGATCCACTATGTGGTGGATCAACCACTGGGATATTAGTGTCGGGGTTACCTAATAGAAGACCGAGGGTCGGGCTGTTGCTAAGCGGGATTAGAAGAGTTGAAATTGGTACCAGATTCTCGGAGTTGAAGTCTTCTGATCTGTTATTTGCAGAAATTATTGCTTCTAAGGTGGCATTGAACTTAGAGGATAAATCAGAAACTGTGTCGCCTTCACTTATGGGATAAGACAGCAGGAGCTTTGTTCCTTGGCTGAGTTGAAAATCAGATGGGCAGGCACATCTGAGTGGGACCATCAATTGAAGTTTATCATCAAGATTCCATGGTGAGATGCTCGGGTTCTCATCTCGAATGGCTTTACAGGTTGTCAACCCCTCCAGTGATTCTGAAATCCCATAAAAGCTCTCACCTTTGACGGTAGTCTTGGTAACTCCAGCCTGAAAGAAGCCTCCATTACACACACAGACAACTGGGATCTGTAAAGGTTGATCTTGCGGGAGAAACTCTGTATCAGAAGAGAACCCACTTGCCTCAGCAACTGCTGTCTGATTGAGGCCCAAGTAATAGCTCAGGTTGAAAAGAGATGAATAGTAGGAATTGGTGCGGAACACTGCAAATGTTTCACACTGATCTTGTGGTTTAGTCTCATTGCACCGGTAACCAAAAGCATCTGGCGAGTTGGTATCGCAGCTCAGTAAGCTCTGATCATCTTGCAGCGAAACTGTGACCAGGAGGAAGCAAAGCAGAGCTATCACGCAAAGCTTAGTGAATTGATCAGTTGCCATGACCTTACCAATCTTACTCTATGCAGAGAACTTTGTGAAAAGAGCCGTTTGAACGAGTGAATATTTTGGATCAATACAACCGATGGTGTTAACTGTTAAATTAGGGTATTATTTAAAGATATTTCTGAACAGCTGGGTTTTTGGGTGTGACGAAAAGTTTAATATATAATTTGGGTTCCCCATCACCTTGGGCTTGATTCCATTGCCAAGTGCCAACCACATCCAAATTTGTTACAATTGTTGTGTGCTGTTGCTGCTGCTGCTAAACCTCCACTTCTATAGCTAGCTAATTGAGTGAAGTGCCCTTGGTCAGTTGGTCTTTGTGCGTCAACCTCCTTTCGACATTTATTATTAATTGGATGGTGTAAACCCAGATTCGGAAAGGTCCATCCAATACTGTAATGACCTGCTGCTGTGAACTGTGATCTATCCATATTCCATTATTTTTGCTCTCTTCTTTTTTTATCTTTTATGCCGAATGTACAAATGTATGTTTTGCGTACGTACGTGCAAGTGCATGCACGAATAACTTCAAGCAAACACCGGGGACTTTGGACGGCTAATCCATCCAAGGACGGTGATGTAAGCTAAAGAACAGGCAGGATCAATAGGCCAAAATCATCAGCTGATCAAAGGTAGGTATGATTAGCCATAAATAAATAACCTAATAAGTTGACAAACAAGAAGGGAAAATAAATCATACTATTAGAGAATAAAATCTTATTATTAAAGGACCTTGTCTAATAGCTTAAAACTTTTTGGTTGAATGATTCTTTCAGATGGTGTTAGAGTCTATTTGATTAATTGGTTTAATGTTCAATTCTCTTCCTATTATAATTAATTAAATTTTAGCATCACAACGCATAGGTGGGTCTGTACTTGTCCATGCTTCATGTCTTATGAACCTCACCTAATATTTTAAGTTTTTAGGTTGAACATTTACTTGAAGCATCCAATAGACTTTAAGTGGGCTAGCCGTCACCTGTTAGGATAATCTTATCCATTCGATCAACCACTTTTGTATTAATTTGGAGATTTTGAACGGTTATAGAAAGCTGCAACAGAATATCTTGGACAAAATGGAAATTTAGAGTAGATAATCTTAGACCCTACCACTCCATCTTTCTTCCCATTTTTTTTTGGGTGAATTGTTGAAACCTTCCCTGAAGCGAAGCTTCTGATTGTTGTTGAAACCTCCTCTGAAGTTTGGTAATTGAAATCACTTCACTTTAACTTTTTGACACAGTTGCAAGTTGATTCCCTCTATTAAGAATCCTTTGATAAAAGGGATGGAAAAGTCCAAAATATTCATACAATTAATATTGAGACTGGTTTCTACAAAAGGAAAAATACAATAAAACTTTATAAACAACAAAAAAAAAGAATTTAAAGTTACAGTTTTATCATTGAGCAATTGTATGCAGGAAGGACTTGGAAAATAAATCTATTTAAAAAAGAGATTGGAAAGATTTAGACTAACCACTCATATGAGATGAAAATTTAGAAAATAAACATTTTGATCAAACTTTAAAGAGAGTTTCAGCAACAACCAAAAAACTCACGGGGAAGTTTCAGCAATTTATTGGTAATAATGCCTCTTTCCATAGAGGCAATGAACCAAATAAGAAGGCAAGGCATGCATTTAATCTTAAAATGACAAAAGTATCCCTTGGAGACAGCATTCCGACAGTTACCCATTTGGACTTGATAGAAGCAAGGTCCTTGTCTAGGCAAGTAGGCAGAATGGCAAATCGCAGGTGACAGCAGAGTAGAGGTGTCCATTAAATTCGGGTCTCTTTGGATCACGTAAGGTTCGGATTCACAGACCCAGAGGAAAAAAAGTGAGCATCTCAACAGCTTCTGGTTAGTAATTGCTACTCCTACTTACCACCCGATCGATTGTCCTTGGAGAAATTCATGGGTGACGCATTATGATTTATCACCAAGTTGATGGAAACCCAGGTGGAACGTTGGAAGGGCAAAACTCTATAGAAATAATACAAAGTGTGTGCTGTGTGGGCCGTAGAGCAACGTCCCTCACTTGGTGGGCTTGGGTGTATGGAATAGGTGTCCAGATATCCATATTGTGGATACTGGTTTCCTGGGTGCTTAGAATCCTATAGCACTCATAATGCGAGCTTATTAAAAGGTGACGTATGCCGTGTCTTAGTATTTCGAACCTTGTCGGTGCTTAGAATTCTTTTCTAACTCGGAGAGCTTTGAGCTTCACGAAATCTTAGAAAATTTTGATTAAACTAAAAAAATTAAATTGGATTGGATCCAAAGAATGATCGGGTCCACACAAGACTCGTTAATGGGAGCCATCTTGTGACCTTGTGATTGGGTGAATGAAACATATTCTTTTGTGGTTTGAAGGACTTCATAGCGAGACCCAATCATCAGTCACCCACAAAACTGCCCCCCACAATGTCCCACAAGACATCTCTGCCATATATTGAGAATATCTCCTGATGATAATATCATCATTCCAGATATTATTATTGAGAGATGTTCTTAATATACGACGGAGATGTACTGTGGGACGTTGTGGGGGGCATTCTTGTAGGGGGCTGATTTGAACTCCTTCATAGCTAACCCCAACTCTATGGTGATCATGTTGCCATTACCTTTTAATGCTTGAGGCAGACGTCTTGGGTACATTACAGATGGTCAAAATCGCTGTTTAGGTTGAATGATTTCACGGTTCGACTGTTAGAATCAGCGATAATGGTTTTTGGCAAAAAAGTGGTTTAGGGATAAAATGGAACTGATTGTTTAAACGGTTTTTGGGTCAAATAGTTTGACCGTCATCCGTCTGGATCAACAACAATTCAAAAATCATGTTATTTTTCTGAATTTTAAAATAAATTATAGATAGCACTTAAGAAATAATTATATTCTTATCCCCTGGAACTTTGTTTTACAATAAACACCCCTGATTTTTTTTATTTAAACACTTTGCTCCTGACTTACCTGCTACTAAGGTTGATGGTGAATATAAAATTACTAATTTACCCATTCATGATCGTAGGGTTGACATTCAAAAATCATCAAAATGATGAAAACAAACATTCTAAGGCACAATTTCATTCTCAAAGCATTGTTGAACCAATCACAATTTTCAAGGAGAGATTAGGTTTTAGTCTCATAAACCTAAGTCATAAAAACAAAATAGTCTCATAAAATAAGGATAGACTAGGCTTTAGTCTTTTATAAATATTTAACAGAATATTCCATAAGATTAACGAAGGTATGCTGATGATGGAGGTAAAATGTTGGAATCCAAAACTTCAGAGGGGTCTTTTGTCTCAAAACAAAATTCGGAGGGTTAAGTGTTAACACGCCCAAAGTACAAGGTTGCTGTATGTAAAAGCAAATAAAGGTAATAATTGGCTTATCAAAAATCACCAGAATTAAGAAATAAAAATGTTGGAGGGAGATTCAAATTTTCAAGAATTTTTCTCCTCCCTCTTGTTTTTTGTCTTTTCCTCTTCCCACCCTTGGGTGCATGGAAAGACTCATTGTCCCACATTGCTTGAGAAAGGAGTGGAAGTTGAGTATATTTGTATTTTTGCTCTCTTTATGGGTAGGAACCCATAAGAGAAGAGCATTATAGATATTCCATGCATATGAGGGGGATTGGGGGTGCTTTTCAAATGCGCGTGTTGGGTCGAGGTGTGGGCGGGGGTGGGGGCATAGGTGTGTGCATTGGATCATTTTGTTTTAACCAAATTACACCTTTCTAATTTAAAATATGTTTCTTCAAATTCAAATTTAATTTTAAAATAAATTGTTTGTTTTTTCGTGTCTCTTCTTCCTCCTTGTGCCTCTTCGAATAGGTGCACTGTTCTGAAGAGGCTCCTGTCTGAAAGGATACATCTGTGTCCATTCGGGTCTGAGACCAATTTATAAAAGGGATGATGGTCGACCCAGTTTTCACAAAACGTTTTTGATAGTCTTCTTCTTTGTTCTCCCTATGAAATCTGAGCATCATCTATCTGTAGTTCGCGAAGGTCTGGTAAGTGAGTGCATGCCTACCAGTGGCCTGTGGGCTGTTTTATCTTGGCGACCGATTTGCAATCACCCAGCTACACCTTAAGGGGCAAATGCGGTTTTAAGGAGAGTGACCAAGTGGCACGACTCAGCCCTCCTTCTCCCTGCAATTCTCATTTCCAAGTTTCTGCAACAACATCGCAGCACTGCAAATTCAGTTTGGAAAGCGATTACTGATAAGTTCCATTCTGCCTCTTTATTATTTTTACAACAAAAAAAATTAAGAAAACAGAATTTTTTTGTTGGTTGTTGAGGGTATGGAATCTGAATCTGTTGTAGACCTACAGCTAAGACTTTACTATATACCCAATGAGTGATCGTCGCCTGTTTTTGCACAGATGGTGGTGAGACCAGATATGCTCCTCACAGATGGCGTCTCATACCGACTTCACAAGCACATCCCACCGTGCATTGGAAACATGGTGGAATGTACCTGTAAGGTGTGAGGTGCCCTGTGAGAAACAGATCCCAATGAACCCACATGATGAGATGTCTACTAAACTAATTAATAATGTAAAAACGATCTAGAAATTTATTTACAGCCATTAGATCGATGTGTACAATATTATCAGTGTGTCCATTTTGTGATCCACATTATTAATGTCCACCGTTTT